ACAGAGCATATTGGCTATAGAACAAGTTGATATCTTGATCATAACTGAAACCTGGCTTAAGCCGGATACGGAATATATTCTAAATCAGTGTGTAGACTCTTCAAATGAATATCGATACCATCATGTTTCACGAACGGCTAAAATAGGTGGAGGTGTTGCCATAATTTCTCGCGAAGAACTACAGGGTGAAAGAATTTTCAGCCATCTCTCGGACGATGGTGAATTCTTGGTAATTACGGTCGTGACTAGAAAAGTCAAAATAACAATTGCAGCAATATATAGACCGCCGAGTGGAAATTATAACGAGTTTTTTAATGAATTGACTGAAAATATTCTTGCCTCATCAATTGAAACCCAAATTCTCCTCCTGGGTGATTTTAATTTGGATCTAGAAAACAGACGTTGTGCCAAATCCAATACATTTTGTTCGATTCTACTGGAATATAACCTAGAACAGATTGTTAAGAAAGCAACTCACGAATACGGGAGTATTCTAGACCTCATAATTTGTTCAAACCCGGAATTGTGCTCACCCGTTAGAAATGAGCACGTTGAATACTCTGATCACCATCTATTGACGTTCACTTATCAAATCGCAATTCAACGGAAGGATAAAACCAGATTGACTATTTATGTTTGGAACAATACAGACTGGAAACATTTAGAGACGGAAATAGATCAGAATTTAATCTTGAATCTGAACACCAGTGACCCGAACGAGATGACAGAGAATTTAATCGAAATTTTGCAGCGGCTGAAAACTGATTATGTGCCAACTAAGACCAAAGTTGTCAAAAACCGATTTTGTAATTTTTACGATAAAGAGTTAGCAGACGTAAAACGAAAACGTAGAAAATTAGAACGCGTATTGCGTGTAAATCCTGGATTAGAAAACGAAACAGCTTTCAAGGAGTATTTAAAGAAATGTAAAGATCTGTTTAGAGAGAAGAAATTGATTTATTTTTCCAGGCGCTTTGAGCTTTCAAATAGCCATTCGCTCAAATTTCGTGAATTGAAACGCCTTGCTGGAGAAAAACAACAAAACGTTCTCCCACTGATATACTCTAGTGATTATGAATTAGCTGAAAACTTCAACCAATTTTTCATTCAGAAGGTTAGAAATTTAGTGGCAAATGTAAAAGTAATGGCATCTCGCCGCCACTCTTTGCTTTCACTGCAGTTTCTTCTTTCCAATTCCAATATGTGACTATAGATGAACTAGAAGAAGCAGTAAGAATGGTTTCAAACGCGAACTCACGAGTAGATATACTGAAAACGATAGATATGAAAAGAATAGCACACTCGTGGAAAGATTATTTCATCATTATGATAAACAATTGCATCGATCAGTCCAAATTTCCAAAGTTTCTCAAGAGAGCGGTGATAACTCCTCTCTTTAAGGACCACAAACCTGACCAAAACGTTTTAAATTTTTATAGACCAATAGCGAATCTGATGTTTATCAGTAAAGTTTTTGAAAGAATTTTATAAAAACAGCTCGATCAATACCTTAGCTCCTATAATCTTCTAGATGAACACCAATCTGCTTTCAGGAAGCATTTTTCAACTGAAACGGCTCTGCTAAAAACTACAGATGATCTACTGACTAGTCTCGACAACAAGAGACAGGTCCTTTTGATAGCCCTTGACCTTTCAGCTGCATTTGATACCATTGATCATAAAACATTGAGAAAGATCATGAAAAATCGGATTGGAATGACGAATGATGCAGTGGATCTAATTCTTTCCTATCTAGAGAATCGGACTCAAATTGTTGCTATCAATGATGTTTTATCGAATTCTCAAGAACTCGAATTTGGAGTGCCTCAAGGTTCTCTTCTGGGACCCCTCCTGTTCTCAATCTACCTGACACCATTGAACGATATTATTGGCTCAACTAAATTTTCATACCAAGTGTATGCCGATGATACTACTTCATACTGTGAAATTAAAAATGAGAGTGAATTAGCAGAAATAGAAAGATCTCTGGTTGTTATTTCGAACTGGTTTTCGTCCATGGGGCTTATGTTAAATGAATCAAAAAGCCAAGTAATTAACCTAGCCACTAGTAAGTCAAAAGGTCTAACAAACTGTTCAATACTCATTGGAAATTCAACGGTTAAGCTGATGAACTCAACAGAAAACTCTGTGAAGTCTTTAGGTTGCCTCATTGACCGATCCTTGTCAATGAAAAAACAGATCGATTCCGTGTGTGGCGCCAGTTACCACAGTCTCCGGAAACTATACAGCATACGTTTCTACCTTGATTTTGAAAATAGAAATATGTTGGCAAGAATGCTAGTCTTAAGTCGATTAGACTACTGCAATAGCTTGTACTCGAGCTTACCAAATTATCTGCTCTACAAGTTGCAAAAAGTCCAAAATAGTGCCTGCAGATTTGTTTTCGGTTTGAAGAAGTCAACGAGTATTACTCCTTACCTACATGATCTACATTGGTTGCCCATAAAATCTCGAGTGATTTTTTAAAGTCTTGACAATCGTACACAAATGCATTTTCAATCCTCAAATCGTTCCGTCTTATCTGAGTAAATATTTTTCACTACAAAAAAGTTCCTCCCGTTTAGTGAAAGGACCATGGTCATTAAGAAACCACTGGCTCACACGAACTATGGAAAAGGACGTTTAGATTTGCTGCCGCACACCATTGGAATAGTTTATCATGTAACCTTAAACTACCAAATGAAACTGAATTTCGTAAACAGTTGAAAACGTATTTGTTTAACCAGGTTTACTATGAGACTTGTTTCAGTTAAAGGTTGCTAAAATGACTGAAACTAGAAAGGTTGGAATTCAAAAGCTAAACGAAACCTTGCGTCTAAGAAATGTTCATGTTGAAACCAGGTTTCTCCCCAAAAGACGGCTAATATTGAGCTCTGATAAGATCAAGAGAGTGACATATGCTGTTTTGGAATCATCGCTAGTTTATGGGATTTTTCTGCCAGATTCCGTGACAGTTTCGTGCCCTGGTGGAACTTTCTCAACCCTTTGTAGCGATCAGGTTCTCAATGATATGAAAAACTTGGATGTACAAACAGTGCTCATAATGGGAGGAACAAACAACCTGTTTGACCGTTCAGGGCGCCAGTCATTGGGAGGGACTGAAGTAGCCGAGGAGATGGAGAGTGCTATTTTTAGACTCCTTGACTGCAATTTCGAATTTGGCGTTATGTCACTTATTAGCCGGGAAGGTGAACGCTCTCTTATCAGGAGAGTGAATAAATGCTACAGAAATCAAACGGCATGGTATAAAATCCCGCTCTTTAAAACTGTAAAGCTCAGCTATCGGAGGCATGTTTGCGCAGATGGACTTCACCCCACAGCAAATGGCTTGCGCGAACTTGCTAAGGACTTTTATGACGCCTTCAGAAGCATAGAAAATCCAATGGCTGTGAAACGAAGGCAAAGAGGGCGACGACGATGAAACGCCCAGCTCATTTTAGAGCGGCTCCGATTTTTAACCATCTTCAAAGAACATTTTCTGTTTAAATCCCAGCTCATTTTAGAGTGGGTACGGCTATCGACAGAAACGAACTCATCTTTAGCGGAGCGACTGATTATTTTTACGACAAAACTGGTTTTTAATTAAACTCAAACACCTTTGAATAATTCAAGAAATGGTGTCGAAATAACATATGTGATGATGATGATGATATTGCTAAGTCTTACCCGCACGAAGCGTATAGTGGTTACAAGTGTGGGATGCGTGACAAGTGAAGCTACTTTTGTCGGTCCGTGCCTGAAATGAAGTCTGCCGTGGAAAGCCTAGACTTATTACTGAAAGAAAAGTTAATACCGATTTTTATCGGTATCCCCGTGAGTGAGGAACTGAGGAAAATTGTTTCTCTACCCATCAGATTTGTAGTCTTGGTGTTCAGGCTGTTCGTGAGATGTGTTCTCGGCCACGTATCTTATGTACAGGCCACCAAACCGCTAGTGGACGCTATCATACTGCAAGAGCGTGAATCACCTCCACAAATGCGACACCAGCAGATTTCCGTGCTGCCCTTTGAAGATGAAAAGAAGTCCCTCTGCAAGCTCGAGTTTTGCGACGCTATTGATATTGTCTGTGAGCAATTTACTTAGGGTGTGTGTCTGGAGTTCCGTTTACAATTGATCACGCGATGGCATGTAAAACTGGTGGTTATGTTGCCTTCCGGCATGACAGCGTCCGCAATTTGTTAGCCACAAGGCTGCAAAAGGTTTGCCAGGATGTGCGCATTGAAACACATCTCAAGCCGGTGACTCGCGAACTTTTGGATGCAGCCTCCGCCAATAGGTTAGATGCCGCGAGACTAAGACATCAACGCTCGGCACTACTGGTCGTGGTGTACCATGACATTTTTCGACCTCCGTGTTTTTTTTTCATGCCAGCTGCAAGACCTATATCGGCACTCCGGTCAATAGGATATATGCAAATCACGAGGCTGAGAAACACTGGAGCTACAATGAACGGATCCTTCAAGTAGAGAGAGGTACTCTCACGCCTCTAGTCTTCAGTTAGGCTGGGGGTTGTGGGAATGAAGCTTATAATTTCATCAAGCGTTTGGCGTTCCTTGAGTCTGCGAAAACTGGCGAGGAGTACTCTTCTGTAATAAGAGAGATCTGTGAAGAGAAATAAGCTTCTCCTTGCCTCGTTCCGTCACGACCGCCCTGAGAGGATCCAGGAATGTCAGAGGTGTCCTCTAAGTTGTCCGCATGCAGCCGTTGTCGGCCGTCTTTTGCTCATGTCTCTATCAATTTGGATGTATATTTTTCTCTGTAGTTATGTTTGCTGTGGTGTTGTAAGCTTTTTTGTTAGTTTCTCTACAATTTCTGTGAGTTTACAATTTTTCGACTCCATTAACCTGAAGATGGACATAGTTATGAAAACGTTCAAATCCCTATTTCACTTTTTTTTCTTAACAAATTTTCGGCTTTTGAAGCACAAAAAATTTCGGTCCACTGTACTGGGAATGAATTTTTTTTCGGCTATCCGGGAAGGAATGTATTTTTTGACTATCCGGTCATTGGGATCTGTGACGTGCCACCGCTAGGAGACAAAAAGCCAGAAATTGTTTTTTAAGTTGACAATTAAGAGCAGCCGTCAGGGGGCATCTTTTTGTTACTTTTTTCCAGTAGTCTGTTGACTCTGTTCCAGAATTGATGGATTACAATTCAGAGTTTGACAGTGATGCCGAGGAAAGAAATCGTAAAAGAAGAAAGGTTATACAAAATGAAAAGAAACCAGTTGTTACTGATCATATTCCGTCACATTTTGTTTCTCGATCCGCTGGACATTCGAAAGCCCACCATAGCTCATCATATCTGGCATTTGACAAAGAGGAAGCTTCCAGGCATCGACAACAGTTTATCTCATTAAATGCTTTTGATCGACATAACAAGCTGGTGAATGATTATTTGAAGTTTTATGGCGGCAGAAAAGACGATCTAAAAAGAGACAATCGTTTCGACAAAACGGACTTAGACGTTATACGCGAGAATGTTAAGTTTGTGTACGATGAAGAAGATGAAGAGTCAGAGCTTACAGATTGGAATCAACGGGTTGCAAAAAGGTACTGGGACAAACTGTACAAAGAATATGCTATTGGTGATTTGACCTATTTTAAAACAGGTCAAATTGGTATGCGATGGAGAACCGAGAAGGAAGTCGTCTCGGGTAAAGGCCAATTCGTCTGTGGTAATAAATTTTGCCAAGAGAGTGAAGGACTGTGTTCTTGGGAGATCAATTTTTCTTACAGAGAAGGCGATGAAAAGAAAAATACATTGGTGAAAATAAGGCTCTGTCCCGATTGCTCTTTCAAACTAAACTACAAGAAACAACATAAACCATCGAAGAAGCGGAAATTAGATAAAGTAAATTTTCCCGAAGAGTTTAAGAATAAAAAGCAAAAAGATAAGAAGAAGAAAAAACAAAAAGTATGCTCGGAGCAGAACCGAGAAGCTAGTAGCAAAACACCTGAGTCTGATCTGGGCTCCCCAGAAAATAATGTCTTTGAAAAAGAACCAGTTGAACCAAACATCTGGGTTAAAAAAGCAGAAGAGAAAAAATCTCTAGACGAAGAAGGAAATAACATAGATGACGATATCGATAGCTATTTTTTGGACATACTTTCGTAGCAACGTGTTTTTGTCGAACAGAGCTGTAAGTTGAATTTATGAGAAGGGCACTAACTTTCGGAAGCTAGCCATTGCAGAGTTAAATGTGTGGTTACTTCACACGAAAAGGTCAACAGAGAAGATGGAAGTTCCTGGAGTAGAAAATCTGAATGACTAATTGAAATTCATGGACGATTGCATTGAACATTTTTAGCTTAGCAAGCTGAAGTTTGTGAGTCGTCTGTATCCAAAAGTTTATAATGAAATAAATTTCAAAATCTTCCATCTATCTATCTATACATCTATCTATCTATAGATTATTTAAAAGGCGTTTGACTTGACACATTCAAGAATTCCCTTGGTGACAAGTTACATGTTTAAACGGTGCCAAAATATTGCAACGTTTAATATGTTTCATTGATTTCAACGTTTTGAGTTCAACGTTTAAGATCATCTACTATTTTAACTATACACCTGTTGAAGCGTGAATGATTCAACTATACATTTTTTTCATTATTTCATAATGCAAGATTTTAAAGCTTTTCGTTTCAGTCTTTAGTTGACAAAATGGAAATTCGCAACCCTGTGGGGGTGTGATATCATGGTACAACTAGGGTTTGGAAGTCTGGCCTTCAAATATTAATGCTCAAATCTTCTTAGTTTCCGAGATATGGCGTTTTTTATCATTTTTTCCCCCCAAAAAATAACTAACTAAATTTAAAAATGTCAACACTATATTTGGTTGATGTCTGAGTATTCCGGTTTTGCGAATCTGGCTTGGCCTCAAAATATTAGTGCTCAAAACCTTATGGGTTTCCGAGATCTGGCGTTTTTTACGATTATTTCATTTTTTTTTTCAAATCTTCGAAAACTTTCACTTCAGATAGAAAAAACCGGATAAAATTTGAAATTCTTAACCCTAGGGTGGAAAGCTATCAGGGTATTTTCAAGAATTGCAAATCTGATCTACAAATATTACTGCTCAAATCCATGTGGTTTTCGAGATTTTATATTTTTTTCTCATTTTTCCAAAATTTATGAAATAAAACGAGCAGAACTTTGAATTCAAAAAATTAGATTACCATCAGAATAAATTCACGGGTTACACTTCTGCCCTCAGAGTACGACTTCTCAATTCCTTTTGCTTTGCAAGATATGACGTTTTTATAATGTTTCAAAAACTTTGATTTGAATACAAGCTACTGAATTTGAACTCAACACTATGGTGGGGTGCTCTCAGGGTGCACCATTGGTTTGCAAATCTGGCCTGCGTTCATAACTGCTCAAGTCTTTTTGTTTTTCGACATATGGTGTTTCTGATTATTTTTTCAGTTTTTTCATAAAAGTTAGATATGAAATTTAACTGAAAGTTAAAATGGTAGTTAAAATGAAAGTTAAAATGGTATAAAACATTCAAAAAATTACTTCGTAAACTTTTCACGCATATTTAGTAGTGTCGTATTGGAACTCCTAGACATTTCAAATTTGGGTTTAATCTGAACTTTTCAGTTTGAGATAGTACTTTTTTCAAATTACAGAAAGTGCACTTGAATGCTCTCGGCTTTTACGGGTCCTTTTTAGTTAATTTTTTTTTCGTACCTGGTGAAGCTCATTACTTTGGAGATTTGACCATTTTGGTTTAAAAAATATCCTAAAAGTTGGTTTTATATACCTTTTAATTAATGCATTAGAAAACCTTGATAGTTGAGCCCAATTTATTAATATGTGAATTCGATTTCCACCTGGTATTTCAAAACCTGAAAAATATCTTTCATCTTTTTTACTTTCCGTGTTTTTTGCTCAATTTTTTGCCTCGGTATTTGCAATGCGTCAATATTAAGGTTTCTGCTGTAGAAGTTTTGTCCATTGTTTCTATAATTCAGCTTTTGATTCAGACACCATTTGATTCAGAAAATCTGAATGACTAATTGAACTTCATGAACGATTGCCTTGAACATTTTTAGCTTAGCAAGCTGAAGTTTGTGAGTCGTCTGTATCCAAAAGTTTATAATGAAATAAATTTCAAAATCTTCCATCTATCTATCTATACATCTATCTTTCTATAGATTATTTAAAAGGCGTTTGACTTGACACATTCAAGAATTCCCTTGGTGACAAGTTACATGTTTAAACGGTGCCAAAATATTGCAACGCTTAATATGTTTCATTGATTTCAACGTTTAAGATCATCTACTATTTTAACTAAACACCTGTTGAAGCGTGAATGATTCAACTATACATTTTTTTCATTATTTCATAATGCAAGGTTTTCAAGCTTTTCGTTTCAGTCTTTAGTTGACAAAATGGAAATTCGCAACCCTGTGGGGGTGTGCTATCATGGTACAACTAGGGTTTGCAAGTCTGGCCTTCAAATATTAATGCTCAAATCTTTTTAGTTTCCGAGATATGGCGTTTTTTATCATTTTTTCCCCCCAAAAAATAACTAACTAAATTTAAAAATGTCAACACTATATTTGGTTGATGTCTGAGTATTCCGGTTTTGCGAATCTGGCTTGGCCTCAAAATATTAGTGCTCAAAACCTTATGGGTTTCCGAGATCTGGCGTTTTTTACGATTATTTCATTTTTTTTTTCAAATCTTCGAAAACTTTCACTTCAGATAGAAAAAACCGGATAAAATTTGAAATTCTTAACCCTAGGGTGGAAAGCTATCAGGGTATTTTCAAGAATTGCAAATCTGATCTACAAATATTACTGCTCAAATCCATGTGGTTTTCGAGATTTTATATTTTTTTCTCATTTTTCCAAAATTTATGAAATAAAACGAGCAGAACTTTGAATTCAAAAAATTAGATTACCATCAGAATAAATTCACGGGTTACACTTCTGCCCTCAGAGTACGACTTCTCAATTCCTTTTGCTTTGCAAGATATGACGTTTTTATAATGTTTCAAAAACTTTGATTTGAATACAAGCTACTGAATTTGAACTCAACACTATGGTGGGGTGCTCTCAGGGTGCACCATTGGTTTGCAAATCTGGCCTGCGTTCATAACTGCTCAAGTCTTTTTGTTTTTCGACATATGGTGTTTCTGATTATTTTTTCAGTTTTTTCATAAAAGTTAGATATGAAATTTAACTGAAAGTTAAAATGGTATATTTTACCATTTTTTCTTCAAAAAAACATTCAAAAAATTACTTCGTAAACTTTTCACGCATATTTAGTAGTGTCGTATTGGAACTCCTAGACATTTCAAATTTGGGTTTAATCTGAACTTTTCAGTTTGAGATAGTACTTTTTTCAAATTACAGAAAGTGCACTTGAATGCTCTCGGCTTTTACGGGTCCTTTTTAGTTAATTTTTTTTTCGTACCTGGTGAAGCTCATTACTTTGGAGATTTGACCATTTTGGTTTAAAAAATATCCTAAAAGTTGGTTTTATATACCTTTTAATTAATGCATTAGAAAACCTTGATAGTTGAGCCCAATTTATTAATATGTGAATTCGATTTCCACCTGGTATTTCAAAACCTGAAAAATATCTTTCATCTTTTTTACTTTCCGTGTTTTTTGCTCAATTTTTTGCCTCGGTATTTGCAATGCGTCAATATTGAGGTTTCTGCTGTAGAAGTTTTGTCCATTGTTTCTATAATTCAGCTTTTGATTCAGACACCATTTGATTCAGAAAATCTGAATGACTAATTGAACTTCATGAACGATTGCCTTGAACATTTTTAGCTTAGCAAGCTGAAGTTTGTGAGTCGTCTGTATCCAAAAGTTTATAATGAAATAAATTTCAAAATCTTCCATCTATCTATCTATACATCTATCTTTCTATAGATTATTTAAAAGGCGTTTGACTTGACACATTCAAGAATTCCCTTGGTGACAAGTTACATGTTTAAACGGTGCCAAAATATTGCAACGCTTAATATGTTTCATTGATTTCAACGTTTAAGATCATCTACTATTTTAACTAAACACCTGTTGAAGCGTGAATGATTCAACTATACATTTTTTTCATTATTTCATAATGCAAGGTTTTCAAGCTTTTCGTTTCAGTCTTTAGTTGACAAAATGGAAATTCGCAACCCTGTGGGGGTGTGCTATCATGGTACAACTAGGGTTTGCAAGTCTGGCCTCCAAATATTAATGCTCAAATCTTTTTAGTTTCCGAGATATGGCGTTTTTTATCATTTTTTCCCCAAAAAATAACTAACTAAATTTAAAAATGTCAACACTATATTTGGTTGATGTCTGAGTATTCCGGTTTTGCGAATCTGGCTTGGCCTCAAAATATTAGTGCTCAAAACCTTATGGGTTTCCGAGATCTGGCGTTTTTTACGATTGTTTCATTTTTTTTTCAAATCTTCGAAAAGTTTCAACTCAGATAGAAAAAACCGGATAAAATTTGAAATTCTTAACCCCAGGGTGGAAAGCTATCAGGGTATTTTCAAGAATTGCAAATCTGATCTACAAAAATTACTGCTCAAATCCATGTGGTTTTCGAGATTTTTTATTTTTTTCTCATTTTTTGCAAAATTTATGAAATAAAGCGAGCAGAACTTTGAATTCAAAAAATCAGATTACCATCAGAATAAATTCACGGATTACACTTCTGCCCTCAGAGTACGACTTCTCAATTCCTTTTGCTTTGCAAGATATGACGTTTCTTATAATGTTTCAAAAACTTTGATTTGAATACAAGCAACTGAATTTGAACTCAACACTATGGTGGGGTGCTCTCAGGGTGCACCATTGGTTTGCAAGTCTGGCCTGCGTTCATAACTGCTCAAGTCTTTTTGTTTTTCGACATATGGTGTTTATGAGTGTTTATGATTATTTTTTCAGTTTTTTCATAAAAGTTAGATATGAAATTTAACTGAAAGTTAAAATGGTATATTTTACCATTTTTTCTTCAAAAAAACATTCAAAAAATTACTTCGTAAACTTTTCAGGCATATTTAGTAGTGTCGTATTGGAACTCCTAGACATTTCAAATTTGGGTTTAATCTGAACTTTTCAGTTTGAGATAGTACTTTTTTCAAATTATAGAAAGTGCACTAAAAGTTGATTTTATATACCTTTTAATTAATTCATTAGAAAACTTTGATAGTTGAGCCCAATTTATTAATGTGTGAATTCAATTTCCACCTGGTATTTCAAAACCTGAAAAATATCTTTCATCTTTTTTACTTTCCGTGTTTTTTGCTCAAATTTTTTGCCTCGGTATTTGCAATGCGTCAATATTAAGGTTTCTGCTGTAGAAGTTTTGTCTATGTTTCTATAATTCAGCTTTTGATTCAGACAC